TCTAAGTCGGCTAAGAAGGCCCTGAGAAAGCCCAAGGTGGCCGAATGATGTTTCCAAGACGCCCCAACATGACCTCAAGACGGCCTAGGATGGCTTCAAGATGGCCTCTAAGACGGCCTAGGAAGCCTCCACAGAAATACCCGAAGAGGTCAACAAAAAAACATGATGGTCCTCAGGTGTTTGGAGATGGTTGGCTGCTGTTCCTAGTCTGCCTTCCGACGGCCCAATACGGCCCAACAGACACCCAAGATCGCCCCAAGATCGTCGCAGAGGCATCCAAGATGACCCCATCACGGCCGAAGAAGTCCCCAAGACGGCCCCAAGAGGGCCAATGATAGCCCACGAGACATCGAAGACGCCCAAGATGGCCTCCAGGACGGCCAAGATGCCCCCAGGAGAGTCCAAGATGGCCGCATAATGTCTCCAAGACGGCCCAAGATGTACTCAAGGCGGTGTAAGACGGTCTCAACATAGCCCAGGGCGGCCCAAAAAGTCCCCAACAGGCCTCCAAAACTGCCCAAGAGGCCTCCAATAGAACATGCAGGAAGGCCAGAAAGGTGTGTTGGTGGTTGCTCCATGTCGGCCTCCCGACAGCCCAAGACGGCCCAAGACTTCCCCAAAACTCGCCCCAAGAGCGACCAAGTGGCCTCCAAGATGGCCCCATGACGGCCCGAGAGACCACCAAGACAGCAACAAGAGGTCCCAAAGACGGCCCCAGCGACCACCAAGACGGCCCTGAAGCGCCCCAAGAGGCCCCAAGTCGGTCCAGAGAGGCCCCCAAGACGGCGTCCGACGGTGTCAGACGGACCAGGGACACCCCAAGACAGTCACCCAAGAAGCACCCAAAGGCGCCCAGGAGACCCAAGGAGGCCGCCAAAAGGCATCCAAGACAAAAGACCCCCAGGAAGCTCGCAGAAGGCCCCAAGAATCACCCAAGAGGCTCCCAAGAGATCTCCTCATCCTCCTCCTCCTCCTCCTCCTCCTCCCCCTCCTCCCTCCTCCTCCTCCTCCTCCTCCTCCTCCTCCTCCTCTCCTCCTCCGCCTCCTCCTCCTCCTCCTCCTCCTCCTCCTCCTCCTCCTCCTCCTCCTCCTCCTCCTTCCTCCTCCTCTCCTCCTCCTCCTCCTCCTCCTCCTCCTCCTCCTCCTCCTCCTCCTCCTCCTCCTCCTCCTCCTTCTCCTCCTCCTCCTCCTCCTCCTCCTCCTCCTCCTCTCCCCCCCCCCCCCTCCTCCTCCTCCTCCTCCTCCTCCTCCTCCTCCTCATCCTCCTCCTCCTCCTCCTCTCCGCCTCCTCCTCCTCCTCCTCCTCCTCCTCCTCCTCCTCCTACTACTACTAACTACTACTACTGCTATACTACTACTACTACTACTACTACTACTACTACTACTACTACTACTACTACTCCTATTCCTACTACTACTCCTACTACTACTACCTACGACTACTACTACTCCTACTACTACTACTACTACTACTACTACTACTACTACTACTACTACTACTACTACTACTACTACTACTACTACTACTACTACCTACTACTACTACTACTACTACTACTACTACTACTACTACTACTACTACTACTACTACTACTACTACTACTACTACTACTACCTACTACTACTACGACTACTACTACTACTACTACTACTACTACTACTACTACTACTACTACTATTCTACTCTCTCTCCTCCTCCTCCTCCTCCTCCTCCTCCTCCTCCTCCTCCCTCCTCCTCCTCCTCCTCCTCCTCCTCCTCCTCCTCCTATTCCTCCTCCTCATCCTCCTCATCCTCCTGCTGCTCTGGTCTCAGCCCTCTCCTCATCCTCCGCTTCCTCCCCCGTCTTCACCTATGGGGTTCCACAACGGCTGGGGGAACACATGATCCAATAGCTTGGTCAGGCAATGCCCAAACGTTTGGCCACATTGGCGTATCCTGAAAGGCAGGGGGGGCGGCGGTGATTCGCTGCAGGCGCCTTCTATACAGAACACAAATTGAACTACATGCGGTCTAATGCTTAACAACGCTCTTGCGCCCGTGGGACACTAATCAGATGGCCACAACCTAGCATACGGATTACATTGCGGCATCATCGCAAACCCATGCCCAAAATTGTACGGTCGCATGTCAAGGTGCACACGCAGCTCGCAAGCACTAAAAACCTTCCTATGGGTATGGCAGGTGTACTCCGAGGGGTCACACATGTCTTGGGAACCCGAACGGCTAGATAAACGGCACTGCTCCCACTGTCCCGAAGACGACTCCGTAGTCTTCGGATCCAGCCTTCAGCTGTTTCGGACCATCCGTGATCACCACTTCCCCGACCCTCCCCCTACTCTTTCACACGATGCCAGGAGTCCTGGCGGTAGGAAGCGCGGCTATTGGGAGCGATGTCGACAACGCCCAGAGGCAGGAACGCAGCGAAGTGCGCGAAACCGCAGGAGGAGCAGCAGAGACATCCACAGCCGCGGCCAGAGCGCTCCCCGACCCACAGAAAGAGCCCGTGCACCTACTCACGAAGCAAATCCTCCAGCTCGGCCTGCAGTGCCGACATCTCTCGGGAGTCGTCTTCGACTCCTGGCTCCCGCAGACGGCGTTCTCATCACCACCCTGAGCGAACAAACCGTGGCACACGCATCAGGGAAGAAGGCCACAGGCAAATATCACGGACTTGGGCCCACAGCACATCTGAGCCATGGGGGGACTGACCAAGAGCGGTAACACTCTCGGCGACGCGATCGGAGCAACGAAACACCAGGATCTACAAAAGGCCTGGGCGGATTACCGCATCAGAGGTGCGAGCTGGCTTTGCGGCCGGGGCGAAATCTGTCAGGTAAAGCCTCGCTGGATCACGCTCACATCGAGGGACGTGGGATTCCGCAAGATCATCATGAGCAGCAGCGAGCAGGTGCCCCAGACGAAGCGGAAGTTCGGCCGCGCCCCAGCCTCAGACATGGAGCGGGAAATCGATGTTCCTCCAGGAGACCCGGTTGAAGTGAGCAAAAGACCTGTCTGATGATGAATGGCACAACTCCAGGGATTGATCGTGATAAGCTACACGCAGTTTTCGAGATGGCCACATGTCGCCAAACCAACTGCATCATCGTTGAAGGCCAGCACAGCACCACAGATCAAGAGTTCCTTGTCTCATATAGCACGTTCGTCATCCTTAGGGGCCAGCTCAGCTCCACAGACCTGCAAACCAAGCTTCCAGGTAGCATGCTCTCCATCAATCGGGGCCAACACAGCACCGTCACACCGAAGCCCATCCGCTCCTCATGAACCCACGCCTATCTCTCAATCGTCTACTCTCCACTCCCCAATCATCTACTACACCCCATCCTAAATCGTCTGCTCCCTCTTGTGCTGACCCTCATGGCCCTCCTCCATCCCCAGTCTGACCCCCATGCTGCCAAAGTGTCTGGCCTCCTGCGGGGCTTATCCTGGGTCCCAGAGGTTTCACCCTTTAGCCAGCAGTCTGCATATTCTTCGGATTGCGAGGCAGAAGGCTACCTCACAGTGACCTCCACAGCTCCCTGTGGCTATCTGATGCGTGGGTGGCTGCAGGGGGGCCAGGACGGCCCTGTGCAGGGCCACGTCCGCGGCCCTGGTGCGTAGAGTATGGCAGATGCAGCTTCTTCCAAAAGTGGAGGTTCACGGTGTCAACAGCCTTCAGTCAGTCTTGTGTTATATTCAGGGCCCACTGCTGCGCGAGCGCTCACAGGAAAATCGGACAGCATGGCGCTAGGGGTGCGCGTATCATACTGTATCCATCTCCCCCGTCCAGCTCTGGCTTGAAAGTTCCAACATTTGCAAGAATGCAGGGCAAGTCGTGTTCACCGTGTGGCTCTCGCCCTAGCGCCGCGCACACTCGTTCCAAAACCTTGCAAGGACTAAAAGGATGGACGGCGGGTCGATCTCAAAATTGAGCGTTCTTAGACATGCGCAGGAACTATAGAAGCATGGCGATTTCTTTCAAACTGGGGCTCTGGCTCGAGAGCAACCATGCTGCCGATAGTGCACACTCGCGCGATAGATACACGGATGAAGCGCGGCTCCTTTTCAAAACGGGACTCTCCATGCACGCTTCCGTGAGCTGGCTGGTATTACCATTTCGCACCCCTTCTAGCAAGACGGCGGCAGAGCACCTCCTTTACAAAATGCGCGGGGCCTCATGAGGAAGGGACTTGGGACGGTGATGCATCCTGGGTTTGCTCTTGTCCTCATCCTCCTCCTCATCATTCTCCTCATCCTCTTCATCCTCCTCCTCCACCTCCTCATCCTTCCGACACCCCTCTCCTCCTCCTCCTCCTCCTCCTCATCCTCCTTTTCCTCCTCCTCCTCCTCCTGCTCCTCCTCCTCCTCCCCCTCCCCCTCCTCATCCTAGGTCGGGGTGTCAGAAGTCGACCCCCCGCGGGACCTATCCTGGGGATCGTTTCGACCAGCCGTGGCGACGAGATGCCTCCTGGACCCACCAAGGGTCAACAAACAAACATCCTCGAACCTCAACTCCATGCGTTTCACGACGCGGAGATGTCGGGGTCCTCCCTCCTCCCTCCTCTGACGAGCTGAGCGACAACGACAGGGGGTACTGGCTCGGGGGCAGGAAACATCGACCTGGAATCGGCGATGCGTCGCCGACAGATCGGCGATAGGCCCCAGATGGCGAATCCACGCGTTCTTGGGCGGCAAAAGGCTGTCGGGCCCCATCGGCGAGGGATGGGCGATCGGGGGTCGATGCATCTCCCCATGAGCCTGCCCCGCTAACGTTTTGCCTGGCGGCTTTCGGGGCACAGCTCGGGCCTCTGGCCGCCGCTCGGGACGATCCAGGAGCCCCCAACGCAGAACGCCCCCGGCGAGGCGCAGGCCCGAAAACCGCCAGGAACTGACGCAGACGCCCGAGAAGCTCGACCCCCTCGACTCCGAGAAAGCCGTCCCCTCTGAAACAGTCCCACCCTAACACTGCCGCCGAAGGGCGGCCCCGTCCGCACCCCGAGGCCTTGGAGCCGGCGAGGCCCCCGCGGACGGAGGAGGCGACGCTGCGGTCCGACGGCGAGGGCGGGCGGACGGGCGCCGC